GAACATTGTAGCTCAAGAGACATCTTCAAATAATTAAATATAATTTTGTCTGCAATTTCTTTCGGAAGGTTGTTTCGGAAGATGATTAACAAAGCAAAGTAGTGATATTATTCATGACTGCTGAATCCAAATTCCAATTATTCTATTAGAATCAAAATATAATTTCTAAAAAATAATTATTCTGAAGGTAATTTGATTCCAGAGGCATTTCATTAAACTTTCACATCTACCTTAAAAGAAAGTTGAATGAAGCAAAAATACCGAATTCACACCAATATAATTTAAAATGTGAGTCAATTGATTCATTATCGAACAAAATGTATTGTTTCAAAAGTATTAGGTGTTACTTCTTTAACCTTGAAATGAATGATTTTCCCAAGATGCTGAGGATTTTTGATCTCACCTTAATAAAACTTCAGTCAATTGAAGATGACCATAACTACGTAGAATAAAGAAATTTCTCAAGCACTTTGATCTAGTAATCTTTTCTTTGAAACCGAATGTATTTACTTTCTATTATAGAAAAATACAAGTTGACCGAAAACTTTGAAACTTTCGAATGTACCATTGATATCACTAGTAAATCTCGAAAGAAGAAACAGTAATAGGGAGGTTGACTGACTTATAAGAGTATATGGTGACTTACGCCATTAATGAAACCAATAGAAGATAAATCTCCGTTAAATTGTTTTCTATCAAGTTTAGTAAATTCGTTTTCATATAATCAAAAGATAAAATTTGAACCCACTCATATATCCCCATTAAAATTAATATTTTTTCATTTACTCTCAACTTGAAATGGATGATTCTGAAAACCGTTTCTTTCATAAAATTATCTTCTGTTTTTCATAAATATATTTTCATCTGATTGGAGGTTTGCCATAGAAGTGTTATCTAATATGAAATCAAATACACAGAGGTTCAAAGACTTGCGAAGGATCAGTATATTATCTGTGATCTGAAAATTTGAGTTCTTTAACATTCCATTTATAAACAAATATCCGGACTAGAAATGGGAAACTGTATGTCACCTATATGTGCAGATCTAGTGATGTCTGAACTCCAACAACGTAGTCTAGCACAATTGACTTTTTCAGTTCCGTTTTTCAAAAGATACGTTGATGATATTTTATGATTGGCATACCCAAATGAAATGAAACTTCAGGTTTTCAAATCCTACCAGGACTTCAATTTATTCAACTGATATATCATGATAATGATTTCAAGAAATATTTGGTTTGGCTGAGCAGGTTTTACAATAATAAATTTGTGCACAGGATGTATCAGTTGATGGTGTCAGTCTAATAATGCACATATCATTGTAGGTTCTTTCACATCCATAGCATTTGATTCCTTTTGATATTAGGCTAATCTTGTTCGTACACATGAAGCAGATTTTGCCAAGAGCAATATGATTATTGATAAAAGGTAATTTTTCCTGATTGTTTTCTGCAGAATTGTTGCTCTCGGCCTCACCGAATACTTTCCTCACGTATTTTTCTCGGGCAATTGTGACACATGATAAAATATTTAGCCGGCTGTCGCTTGAGGAAGGTTGAAATAAATTCAAGTATAGATTTCTGCCAGCAAATCACTTTTCATATTCTTTCTGTCATCATGTTTACCTTTTGCTGTATTTGGCTCATTTGATTTTTTCCTCTTGATTGCCTTCTTTTTCTCTAACTTCTTTTCGTTTTCAGCTTTTTTTAAACATCTTTCTTTTTTTCTATTTTCCTTTTCTTTTTCTTGGCTTCCAGTTTTTCCGTTTGAATGTTTTTCCATTGAGTGCTCGTTAGAACAAATGGTAATCTCTCACTATTTTTCTTACCCTTTCTTACCGGGGTTTAAGGCCATATCACATGATCGTGAAGACTGGAATTCACTAGATTGATTCCTCTTTTGTCATGATTCTGTTGTAATGTTCTTGCAATGACAAAAGCGTCGGATTCTTCATTTTTATTCGGCCTATCTAGTTTCATGGTATTTTTCATTGACTGCTTATCAAATTCACAATTTATTTCATTTGTGGCACTAACTGTTTCTTCTGATATTTTTATCATTTCTTCATACATACCATCTCCAAACCCATTTCTTTCATCAAGATTCGTGCCAGTATGATTTTTTTCCTCTAACGAGTCTTTGACCTCATATGTCACGGTAGGTACATGGTCCTCGGTATTCACAGATGGTGAAATACCATTTGCAAAAATTATTTCGAGATTTTTTATATCTATATCTTCACTGATCTTTGTCTCGTAATCAATAGCAGAGGAATTCCATGGGAATAAACCACTGGCTTGAAACCCATGTGTTATATTATCCACCTTGGCACACTGATCAATTACGATTTTCAATACTGCAGCAAATTTTTCCTTGGTTAGTATTTGTTGAGGATTTTTCCTTCTGAACTCCAATACAGCTTTTTTCCATCCCGTTTTGAGAGACTTGAAAGCTGCCACATCAGCAGGTTGCATAATTCTGCTAGCAATTGGATAGAGTGCTATCAAAATAATCTCTAGTTTCGTGCATAGCTGACTCAACTCCAAAGTTTGATGAGTACAATGTCCATCCACGAAAAGAATGACCGGAAATTTAGTTCCACTATTTTTCAAACACGGATATAATACATTGTCGATTATTCGTAAAAGAATTCCACCTTCATCCAACCATTGTCACTATGACCAACTCCCCAAGAACTTAGTACCGAATTTATGATGAAGCTGGTAGCTTCTTATACGGAAATATTAGCATAGGTTCTGTCACCTGAACAACAGCAGAGAATGTGAACATGGTTATGTTCGTGGTTATTGCTTGGGCAAAGTCTACCTCATAAACGTTTCTTGCACCTCTAGGAACAATAACCTTGGTATTTTTAGGACAAAGGAAAAACATGTCTCGTCCCCATTGAACACTCTGGTTGGATCTCTCAATATATCAAAATAAGCCTTTCCCTTGAGATATTCCTCCACCAAAGTAAACCAATGTCGTATGTCTGACTTTGAAATAACAGAACTAGCTGCTGTTACCGCCTCTGGGGTGCGGTGAGTTAGAGATGGATGTCGTTTGAGAAAAGCCCTGTACCATCCGTCGCAAGGTAAATTATCACAAAATGGATTATCCCGAGTATTTGCATCCAAGAATTATTTCACAGATACTTGAATATCAAATTTTCTGAGTGGGAAACCTTTCTTGTAACTATTTACGATTCAGTTTTCTGAAATAGTTTCCTTTTCATGTGTGAGAATGGGATTTGGTCCCAAGTTAGTTTTACTGTGGAACTTTTCACTTTTTCTGAATTGCAGCGTTTGACGAGGCACACCAAATAATTTAGAGGCTTGTCTTTGAGAGATACCATTTTTTATGGCTGCTAAAGCTGAGGTGATAGTTTCTTCTGTGTACTTCTTCTCATATTTTCTCCCTTCTTGTACTTTCGGCATCTAGAAAGGAACAAGCAAAAATATTTCAATTCATTTCGAATGGTCATACAGTTATTGGCATATGGTCGATTATAGTGATTGGCATATGGCCAACCACTATAT